GTCTTCTTAAGTGGTCACTCTGATGGTACAGTACAGATTCTGCAGAGAGACAGATCTACATTTAATGAAGGATAATTCTCTCTGGACTTTAGAGTTAAGCTGTTGCAGCAAAATTACTCCGTTTAGACTAATTTTTTTTTCTACACGAATCTCAAGAAAAACCTATTCCAAGTCTGTTTTGTAGGAGTGTCTCCACATGACCAGAGGAGGGCACTTTGAACATCTCTGCCCTGCCCAGGAGGCAGATGCAGAAGCACAGTGTTACCCACGGTCGCGCAGTCCTGCCACCTCTTCCCACCCGGGCAGGTATCCTCCTGTCCGCACAAATACAGAATCCGTATTGTACCACAGGGCTCTGTTCTGGAAACAGTGGGCAGAGCTATCACTCTCTGCTTGCTAACTAGGATTTCTTCCCATTCCCCCCCCATTGAATTCAGCGTCGCCGCGGCTTAAATCAAGATTAACGGGTAATTCCTGAAAATCACGTGAGGGGAGTTGTCTCCCTCTCCTTCCTCAACATCCCTCTGCTATCAGCCCCTGGTAATTTAGCAAATATTGACTGATTTAACTCTCTATGACTTATCCTGCCGCAGAAATTCCTTGCCTTTAACTGAAAAATGCACTCGGAAAATGCACTCTCTGAGATATGTATTGCAACGGTGCATCTTTTCGCATTAAATTCTTGTAAAAGTACTGCTCCTTTCTGCTTTCCGAGAGAGGCGAGGCCGCGTCCCAGATCTGCTCCCCCGGCAGAGTACAGAGCCGAAAAATCAATCTCTTCTCTTTTCCATTCATGACCACAGTGTGGAGTTCAGCCACTTTCCATGCAGGAAACATCCTTTTGGGTTTCATTTTGGCTAAAGGTATCAACCTTCTATGGAAAAGATTTTAATTTTGCAATCTTACTTTTAACATAGGCAGATTTTTTTTTTGTCACCTCTCTGCTTTGTTTTGTTCAAGTTTAATGCTGAAAAATTATTAGAAAGGATTTAGAAACTCTTTTTTTAAAAAAAATAAAAGTCTCTCCTCCACCCTGGGGAAACACACTGCTTATTTAATGTACTTTTTTTTCCCTCAACATTATTCCTTTTCTCTTTTCTTTTCTTCTCTTTTCTTTCTTCTTTTCTTTTTTCTTTCCTTTTTTCTTTTTTCTCTTCTTTCTTTTCTCCTTTCTTTTCTAGAGCAGACAGGTACAAGAAGGAAGTTGTCTTTCATCAGCAGTCCTTTGACATAGAGTAGAATTCAGTGAGTCCTCACCATGATAGGATCATAAACTTACTGGGTTAAACCAAGCTAACTTACCCTAAGCTGCCAAGTTTTAGCTGCACCATACGTATATGTGTTTCCTTGTGCCATTTTCTTTTCTTATAATTTTGTTTTTCTTGATGACCCTGAGCTATGGCTTCTCGTTTCTACCACTAGTCAACCTTCCTTTCTTTTCTGGTTTTGCCGATGTAGGCCTCAAAGAAAAAATGGCAGAAGAGCACAAAGTAGCTGAGGTACATGAGAGAGGACCAGATGATGTTCTGCACGTGGGAATGGCACTGGCCCTGCTGCATCCAGGAGAAGACCAGGTAATTGATCACGCAACCGATCAACATCTGAGTGATCTGCGACAAGGTGATGAACATGGCAAACTTGCGTGAGACTCTGAAGCCAGCAGCCCGCAAGGCATAGTACGAGTACATAACGGCGTGTACTCCATAGTTCATGGTCATGAACCAGCCACCGCCAGCCACCATGTCCTTGTAGGAATACCAAGAATAAAGTAACACAGTAATGTGATGGTACCAGTGTAAGAAGATGAGCTTCTGTTTCCTAAGAATAATGAATATTGTATCACCTGTAACAAAAAGGAAAAAAAAAAAAAAAGGAGGGGAGGAAATGAGAAATACATTGAACAGTTCCATAATTACTGCAGTGCTCTCTTCCCTTTGCTGGAGCATACACTGTTTTAAAGCACGAAAAACCACCTCAGCTCTAGATCTGAGAACCTGTCTGAGCCAAGAGCCAGCTTGGCTCCTAATCTTTATGCAATCTTTGGAAAACCAACGTATCCCCATTTTCCTGTGTGGATAACCCCCTGTTTGAAAACTCGATAGGTTTACTTGGTAGCCCTTTGCTGCACACATCATCCATGAAAGTCTGAGGGGAGGCAGGTGGATGTCTGTGTATCATCTCTGACTGTGAGAGTGTCCATTATGTGCTGTGACTCCACGAGAAATGCAGCGCGACAGAGAGCAGAAAACCTGACGAGGAAGCAGCACAGCGTCCTCCGATTCAAACACCTACCTGCAAACTGAACCTAGTTAAACTCACTTTTGAGCTACTGTGCCAAAAGCTATTGCATCTGCAACCTACAATACTGAAAGGTATGTGATTGCCAGAAAAAAATGCTTCTAGAAAGAAATTTGGGTTATGTTGAAGTGTATATCCTTTTCTGCAAATTCATGTTGCCAGTGTGAAACGGTACATTTTATTCCTCTTTCCTGCTTTTTTCTTCTTTCTGCTTCTCATGATTGCACTGAGCATCTCAATTAGACATACGGATGCTACTTGTTTTCTATTGTTATAGACAGAGTGTTTCCAAAAGATCCCTGAGATTTGAATCTGGGGAGTTATTTCTATGGATATGTATACCAGGAAATCCAAATCATGAATATTAGTGACGGCTGGAACGAAAACTGCACCGTCTGCACAAGGTCTGTAGGAAGCCATCATGCTACTGTTTACTTCATTAGCTACAAGATGTTGACTCACATTTTCATAAGTAATCATATGTTCAATTTATTGATGCTGTGCAGTTCTAGCTGATGTTTTCCAGTTATAACAACTAAATTTCCGTGGTCTTGCAGTAATTTAAGCAGCAGGAAACCAAGAGATTCTGACACAGCAAGGCAACTGGTATCTTGTCTCTTCCCAGTTTTTATGCTGATGAATTGCTGTCCTGTAATTTGCTGAATCAAATTCTCTGCTGAAAGGTAAAGACTTATTTTTTGCTGTACACCTGAACACAGTGAGTGCTGCAGCCCTTTGAGGTTTAGTAAAGGCATCCTCTGAAATGAAAGCTGGAGGGCTGCTGAATCGCTGCCTCCTCCTCCCCATTAAAACAATCCTTTCTTACACTAATGAGCCACAGGATGAGAACACACACAGACTGGCTACCAAGTTGGCTTTGGCATGTATATCACAATTATCCTCACCCAAAAAATTGCTACAGAGACAGAAATTTGTAAGAATCAGGACTGGAAAAGCTAGGGATATTATGGGAAATTGGTTTCTATTTGGAGGAAGCAGACAGCCACATCTTTCAATGTTTACGGAGGAAGCACGTTACTGTTCATAATTGTACGCCTACACGTGTATTTAAGGACGACTGCTGCAGAATGGAGGCAGAACCTGACTCAAAGCTTCTCGCTGACACCGCTGCTGTAGCCCACCCTTCACTTCTGTACCCATGGGGTGAGTGACTGCCGATTACGCTACTCGTATTTGCCTACCAGTAGCTAAGGAAGAGGTATGGACCAGATTGCTCTTACCTCTTTGCCCGGCTATGTATAATCACTGCAGTTTATTCCTGGACTGGGAATGGTCTTATTCCACTGCACATTGCTCTAATTTCAGCCAAGGGGGACTTATGTCTACAGACTAAAACATGCAGACTTTGGGGTTGGTTTTGTTTATGCAGTTTTTCTGAGACTAAAATGAGATTTCGACAGCACTGAGACCCTTCTTGTGCTTCCTTCACAGACATTTCTGCTCTAAATATGCATAGTGAGAGAAAGGGAGAGAGGGTACTCACCTAGTTCGGGTGCTTTGCTTAGCACAAATGCATATGCCCAGAATTTGCTGACAGGTCCAATGTAAAAACTCTGGTCACACACTGACTGCTTCAGGCCTTTGGTCATCAAAATGTACAGCATATAAGCACCAGTTCGAACAGCACCAAATATACTTTAAAACAAAAAGAGAAAATGAAGAAAGTTGAGTGGACACTTAAAATCTACATGCCATCACTTCAAATCGTTAAGGGAAAAAGGCCATGAATGTGCTGAAATAGTAAGTTTGAGACAGCCTTAAAGCCGAAGTAACTCTGCTGGCTTCTAGGAAGCTGTTCTGAACTCAGATTTGTAAACCGGACTGCAGCTGTAACCCAGGTCGAGGTCTGGAACGGCAACGTCAATGGTTTTTATTTCATTACTACAGGAACAATCCTTCAGTTTTCAGGAGCAGTGGGAGACATCAACATCAGCTGAAAACAATGTGCGGAGTTTTGATGCTGACGGCTGGGAGAGTACAAGAAATGAGTTGGTAAAGAGCTGTCATCAACATAATCAGGACCAATTCCCTCTCCTGATTTCCTCGGTTTTCTCTTGTCTCTCCCTGTGTTTGTTACACCCATAAGAGCTCTGAGCACAGACGAACCCAGGCAGGGCGCACAGATTTTGATGGGGGGTCTCAGTCAGGGCTGGTGTTTTGGTGCACGTGCTGACTTCATACTTCATCTCTTAACAGGTCATTGCTAACAGATGAATCGACTAGCCGAATCGAGTCATTAAACAGCAGATTCACCCTCACCTGAGATGCAAGGTAATAGCGTTCTGTAAATGAGAAACATCAAGAGATTTGCAAGGGTATTAATTTGTGCAATTACAGAGGGGATAGGCTCAGATACAAAAGACATCCAGCTGATATAAGGAACAAAGGCTTCTGTCTCAGCAGTGAGGAGCTCTACAGGAGGAATTGCCTCACTGTTTTATGGCAAGAACATGCTTGCCCATTGTCTACCATTGTAGCTCGTTGGCTCTTCAAAAGCTGCAGTGACTATTGGGTGGAACAGGCAGCTTTCAGAAAAATGGAGCAAAGAAAGACCCAATTTCCTTTGGGGTTGAGTATATCTTACTTTATGCCTACATCATATGTACCTGTGCCTCTACCCAGCCCCACCTTACCTCCCCTCTCACTTCTTTATGACCTTGTGCTACGCATGAATCCTCTGGTTCCTCCTCTGCCTTGGTGACTTTCCTGACTATTGCACGGCAGCAAGCAAACCAAGCCACCTAAAACTGATGTGTAGACACATGTGGGCAATGCAAGCTACCACTTAGGCAGTGTGTGAAATAAGGAACAGCTCATCTGAAGTCAGAGATTCTCTGTTACTTGTCTTTGTCTTGCGAAGTCAGTATTCTTTTTAAAATGTGTTTTAAAATCATCAAGGCAGCCTCAAAAGTTGAGGTCTATGGCAGTTCTTATGGCACTTGGTTGGCACTTGACTAAGTTTTTGTATTTTTTGCACAAAGTATTCAGATTTCCAAATGCGCAGCACTGATATCCCCAGTGAAACCTGCCTGCTGCTAAGGAGCAACGCCCCTTGCTCTCCCCCGTCCACAGCACGCACTCTGCAACCAAGTGGAGCCCCACGCTGCCTGGTGCTCCTCAGGCTCTGCCCGTGGCATCACGGACGGGGCTCTGCAGCCAGGTCAGGCCCAGGGAGAAGAGTGACCTCCTGGCTCCCGCACCATTACGTTTTGATGCCTGAGGTTTCACTGTGCCATCATGAGAGTCAGACAACAGCGAGCACTTAAGACATTACTATTATTATCTGCTATTTGTATGGCGGTATTTGCTCATGGGCTTCACTGCCAGATGAGTCCTCTTGGGCTATGTGCAAACAAACCACGATCCTGCTGTGGCACAGTTTAGGCGAGTCTGGGTTTCCCATTAGCACTGCCCAAAGCAACGCACGTATTCCCAGGCTTTAGGCAAGACAGCCGCTGCAGTCTCATGTCAATCCACCCCTGCATGCAGAAGAGACAGTGCAATATTCTTAGCATCTACGCAGCCCATAGTGCATCCTCTCCGTGTAGGGTTGTTCCCTCCCAGAAATACTCTCTCAGCATGCCTTTCTCACGTCTTTCCGGCATCGGTCCTTTTAACTCGGCAGCGAGTGCCAAAGCTTGCAGGAGGAGTTCTGAAATGAGGTGCAACTCGTTCTGCGTCTTCTCTCTGGCGTTTAACACATGCCATTTTTTTTTCTTTTTTTTTTTTTTCTCAGGAGTTGCATTTCTCATTCCCAAGAAGACAGGAGATCCTGACAGCGATGTGATCCGATCGCTTCCCGAGGCAGTGAACTCCTCAGGCCAGCCAGGGCAGGCTGCTGCTTGCTCCTATATTTTGGGTGGTGGCAAAACTGGGTGGAGGAAGATCAGGCAGAATATCTAATGATAACACTGGTTCTCCCATTAGCAAATACCTCAGTGCTGACATTAAAATGGGGGGAAAAAAAGGAAATTTCAAATTATGAAATCAAATAGCTGCAAGCAATACGCTTTTCCTTGTAGAGAAGCTGTATTGCTTTTCAAAAGTATCATTTATTATTAAAGTTTTAAAACCAAAGAGAATTCTGTGCCATGAACACAAACTCAGATGAGAAGAGTGCTTGTTCGAGCGACAGGCAAACACTGACTTAACTGTAAGTGACCGAGTGTGGACGCCCAGGGATTTAATCTGGACTGATAACAGAGCCAAAGAGTATCTGCCCTGTGGGGATTACAGTGTTTCACTTTGCTGTCCTTGAGAATATAATGATTTAATTCTTCCCGTCTTTCTGTTTAGCAACTGCTGCAAAGCTCTCCTTGGAGTGCACGCACACGCACGCACACTCACACACACGCATTTATTTTTCCACAATTTTGCAGGACGGTGCCTTCCTCTAGTTCCACGCCTCTAGACGAAGTGACTCCAGCTACTGCTCTCCATGGTGTGAGTCAGACTAATCTGAATTTTTTTTATCAGTAAAAACCAAGTTACATTTTTGCATAATTCACAAGGGAAAGCTTGATAAATAAGGAGGATGGCAAGGTGGAAGTAACTGATTCAATTACCTCAACAGATACCATGAGCAGGGAGCCAGTTACGAGATGTGCTGCATGCCAAAACACTACCTTGCCAACAAGCACACGCCATCGGAGACAGAAAAAGATCTAATGTGCCTTGGACCCAGAGAGCCAGGGCTGCTTTTTGTGCTTCTGCCATGTAATCTTGTTTGTTCTGTAAGGTAAGATCAACCAACAAATTTCTATCTTGCAAAGACATGATGTGCAGCAGGGTGATGACATTGCTTGCTCAGTAAATCACTTCTGCTTCATTTTGTCCTCGCCCTGCTCGCTGCTGTAGGTTTTGTGAAGTATTGAAATGAACTGCTTACCAAAGCAGTCTGTCTGGTGGGAATCATCTGCAGGGATTTTAGAAACAAGGTGGCAGTGAATTGCTGTACAATTACAGCCTTTTGCAACTAGAGACTGATCAGAAACAAACTGCACCAGCTAATGCAGCTTTCTCATCTGTTCAGACTCAAAATGTCCTACATTCTCCTCCCTTTAGGCAGTGACTTCTCTGGTAGATCAACAAACGCCCAATTGATACTTTACTGTCCATAATATGATCAAAATGTATCCATAAGTGAAATAAAACCAAATACTTTTCCCTCACAAACTTGTTTTCAAAGAAGGGTGTGGTGGGCTGACCCTGGCTGGAGGCCAGGTGCCCCCCAAAAACGCTCCATCACTGCCCTCCTCAGCTGGGCAGGGGCGAGAAAATACAATGAAAGGTTTGTGGGTCGAGAGAAGGACAGGGAGAGATCACTCAGCAATTACCGTCATGGGCAGTGAGGAGAAGTGTCATGGGAGGAGAGAAGAAATCTTAATTCCACCCTGACCTGCTGACATGGTGGAGTCATGGGACTCACAGGAGTCCCAGCAGGTGAGTCTGTGCCCTGGGAGCACGGGCAGGTGGCCCAGAGCGTGTGGCCCTCCTCCATGAAGGCCACATCGAACGGACGGTGGTCCTGGGGGAGCAGCCGCGATCACCCTACACGTGGGGTCACAGCCCTCAGACTGCAGCCTCCTTGTACCCTAACAGCGAGAAACACGGGAAGCAAGTTCTTTGGTTGTTTTTCTTTTTTTCACTTCGGCATGCAAAATATTTACAGAGGAAGCACTCTGAATTCAAAAGAAACGTTTAAAGGTC